GCAGGTGAACGACATATCATTTGGTTGCACCGGTCAATGTGGTGTTGGCTCCTGGCTGAAGGTACTGCTAAGAGCAATAATTTCCTTGTTTTGGAATCGAATTAGCACCTATGGAGTTCGAACCTGACCTCTTACGCTTACGTCACCCACTGTGTGGGGAATAATGACGTCAGAATTTCTCAGATCTTTAAACCCAGTGAAGAAAAATGTTGCTTTATCTTCCAATAGTCATTTTTGGAAAAATCAGTGTACCTAGCCCAAACGTCATTGACCAAAACATCCCCCCTGACGCTTTCTTAGGAATCTATGATGACGATGATTCCGCTGTTATTATCCGAGTTTACAATCGCACTTTTCTAAAGGTAGAAAATATTTGAACAGCCAGTGCATAGTTAGTCGAGATAAGCACACACTGAGGTGTATTTCACCTTGTCACGATATTTCGTACGTCGATTGCTGCCGCCCTCCCCCTCCCCTCCCATGGAAACACAATGACGAGCAATGAGTGCGTATGAAAGCATGCTGTAATCCAAATATTGATCACAGATGAGCCTCTAATATTCCTACCCAATTTCCAGTTTAATGATACAAGACAAATCGCAATCCTGAGCAGCACAGAGGCCTGTACATTCAGATATAGCTTAGAACCGACTCTGAGTTATCCATTGTTCAGAGAATGGTTTTGCACTCTTAAACAACCGTAATTCTAAAGTATCTCGTTCTGAATAGTCTGTTGAAAAATACCCTAATTTTCGTCCTAAATAGTTGAATACTGTAATTAATTAGTGTATAAATAAGTCTGTTTGCAAACTATCTTTGAAACCTGCTTAGTCGTCGACTTCACACACTCCATGTCCTTGGGACAGCACCTAAACAATGACATGATTGCCAATCTAAACTTTAGTACAGTAATGTCTAAAGTTGCTAATAAGCTAGGATTCCGCAATCCCGTTTAACGTTCAATTAAGACCATAACGCTATTAGTATCATGATCTAGCAGGACAGTTACTTAGTTTGCGCCTGTAAGAGTAAACCAAAGTCATTTGTGAATTCTGTGTTCACACGTTGGTGAATGACGATGAATCAAGTAGCCTCAATATTATAAGTTCATATTTTCCTAATGTTTTTGTTTAATCTGGCCAAGTAAAGAAACAGCAGTGCTGTCATTCAACTTGTAGCTGGCATAGATATCAAGTTGAACACTAAATCGAAAGTATGGTCATGATTTGTTTTGTCTGAGAAGTAAGTTACTGCAGATTTATTAACTACAAGTTATTTTCCGTGGTTCTCTCTAAGACTCTAAGACTATGTTTCCCCATCAGGTGACCAATACCATTGAAAACTCCTTCAAGTTCAGGTGTCCAATGAACCCAAATAACGGCGTTGGAAATGAATGAGTGAAAGGTGGTTCGTTTCAGCACATTGATATGATATTTCCATACTACATTCGATGAGGTCCACTACGATTTTGTCATGCGACACCTGCAGGATGTCAGTATTGTTGCTGATTGCAGAGATTTCGATCAGTCTAGTCATACTTATGCATGACGCAGGCGTTCCGAATGCATTGCCAGTGATGAATTCGATGTATCATGACGCACGATCGGACTTTTACTCAGTGGTGCAAACTCAGCTAAACATTTCAGCTGTCATCGATTTTCCTTATAAGCATGTCGCTTTGTTGCACCTCGAATGGTTTAGGAAAAGCAGAACTGGATGTCAGGCCACGTTGTTTGTCATCTATAGCATATCGGACAGAAACTCGTCATACTAACATAGTCCTCCCACCTCAGGCACGGAAGTTCACAGTTTAAAAGCAGCATTCGCCCATGGTGACGAAACCCGTCATTGTCATACCTAGAAGAATCGTTATGCTGGCATCTGCTAGCTGACGTCAGTTATGAAACGCCCCATTTTTCATACGATTCCGATTGGATTTGGCAAATATGTGAAAACTCCTCAAAAATTGCAAATATAGCAAATACGCGAAATTCGTCTCGTGATTCCTCAAAAACATTTGCTCGTTTCACAAACAACTTCACTGTTACAGAAGTGGACAATGTTCTGTTTTTCTACAATGATCATCAACATGATGATTTGTATGAGTAAAATACCTTTGATTTGTAACAAATGCTGCATGCATAACTTTTTAGCACCTTTGCCACGAGGTACTCTCTACAGTATCATACATTGGGAACAATTCCTTTTCGAAAGTAGACCTGTGCTACGTTGTGACTGACGTGCGCTGCATTTCGGTCCTCATTAAATGGGCTAACGTTCTCCATTAAGTAACTGACCTAGCATCATTGCAATATATCATTTACACCGATGATCGATTAGTAAGATTTCAGTAAATATAATTAACTTGCTGAATACCGTACCGTTTAATCAGTGAATATCTGATTAAATTACGTCTATTTTCCTATTTATTTCAAAACGATTTTTATTTATTTTGTGAAGTAAATGCTAAATAGGAATTGATCATTATATTAAATACAAGGTTATCTTTAAATACGTTGATCAAACTACGTCTACAGTATTGTTTGCACGAAACAGACGTACAGAATTCTCGTAGTATTTCATTTTTTGAACAGTAACGAGGCCGTAACATAACTTCGGCTTCCGCTTGCCGCGCTGACATTGACAGTGAGGCAATTGTTCGCCCCGATTTCGTTTCGAAAGTATCGTTTCGAATGTGGTGCTTGTAAGTTTTATTTACACAGAAATTTAGTCACGTGCCGAAATGAGGTTTTTCTACTGAGGAAAAAATTTTTATCGAAAGGCAGATTTAAGGCGAAAACAAAATTTCCTAGCGTTAGTCGAGCAACTGACGAACGGGCAGCATGATGCAGGACCCAACCAGAATGGCTGGTCAGTACTGCGCCAACAATCTCTACCTTCAAGACGAGCTGATGGTGTCTGACAAAAAGCAGGCTACTGCTAGGTAAGTTCGGCCTGAAGTATTTCCCTGCTGTATGCTCGAGATTTTGACCCTTAAACTTTGTAATGGATCCTGAAAGTATGATTCACAATTCCCAACTCTACCTTCTGTTCTGTTCGGACAGATCAACGTTATCGGTATATTTAACGTGGAGGCAAATTTCAGTATCATTCGCCCATACACAGGTTCCTACGTTAATCTTTGCTCACTCTCCAAGAGACAAATGAGGTAACTGAGGTAACTTAGCTTTGGTTGAGAAATATCTGCTTACAAATTCATAGTCTTACGGAGCACACCGCGATCGAAAGAAGAAGTCACGTTGGAAGCAGAACTTTTTGTCTATTATTGTTCTGTCGGAGATGATGAATGTCAATGTTCCTGGAAGCTCCAAAAAAATCCGCTAAAACTGGTGACAACGGAGAACTAAAACATTCATGAAAACCATTTGTTTGTTGCCATAATTCGTCAATGAATCTGAAATGGCTATAGCCCACTAGGCAGATCTTAAACATATCGACAGCGAATTCAACTACCAGCGTAGACCTCTTCGCCAACTCTGCGCCATCGTCAAGCCTCTGTTCTACCAGAGCGAAGATTTCTTTGAGTGTTCGCTAATGAAAAGTTCTTGACGTCCCACCTAACCATAATTGGTCCTTCTTTCGCTTGCAATTGACGAAGATCGTTTGTGAATTCACTGGAATATTTGACGTGGGAATTCATGCTCCCGACGTAATTCGACGGCAATGGCTGTGTCCGTCGATAAGAATAGAGGAATGCTGCCTAATAATCCTTTTTAGTTTTCGATACCGAATTACGCCGCTTCAATCCGGTATCGAAAACTAAATAGGATTATATATCTTAGCTGCGGTATCAAAAACTATCAGTATGCTAGTAAACCCATAAGATCGGGTTTTATTTTTCTGTGTAAATGTGCCTGCAGATCGTGTGTATTTGCAGGTGACCGAACAGGCCATTGTTCGGCCCTGCCTAGTGATGGATGCGGTTCTGCATCCATGCACTGCAGGTGCTCAAATACGATCGAGCCATGGCCTGCTTAAATGGTCCCTTAGCGACTAGAAGCAAGGAACGGTGCCTACACCGCATTAATCCGGTGTCTGAAACTAAAACGAATTATGTGTCTTAGCGGCGGTATCAAAAACTATCAGTATGCTAATAAACCCATAAGATTGGGTTTAATTTTTCATTATGCCTTAGACGGTTGGCCGTATTGGTGCTCCAGCCTTGCGAACCTTTGGTAAGCCGTAAAATTCCGGCATGTGGAAGTGACGCTTATATTTCAGTCTTTTCTTCATCCATGGGGCTTTTCAAGCTCGTTGTTAATTTGGAGACTAAATATGTACCAGAAGGTAGTGAGTTAGAATTTTGTTGGCATCCTCAGGTATGAGAACATAGCTCGACAACAACAGCAGCCAACGTTTGTTGATGTAGTCTTCTTTATCCTTGACTTTCCTTTATCCGCTTTGAGAATGACGATCGAATTGTTGTTCTTCAGCTTTTTATCCGTTTTCTTATCACTAAGCAATAGATTCCTCTGAAAGGTAGATATGCCCCCTATTGTTCAAAAGTTACGTTGACAAAATATTCGCTGCGTGTGAAACTGATACGAAGACGCTTTTCCTGAATCACACTGACACCGTGCATCCATGGAAAATCATATTCACGATAGAATTCACGGAGCAGACAACTCGGTACCTTTCCTGTTTCCCGAGAAAGTGGAACAAGTACGTTAATGAGGTGTTTCACAAGAAACATATACCGATAAATTCCTCCAGTTCGATTTGAACCATTTGAATATTGCTTGAAGAAGAGAATCGCGAGCACTGTGGTTAGTAAACGCTTCGAAAGGACTCAGACGACAGTGGTATCCAGAAAAAACTAACCTTCACCCGTGCAGCTCGTAGAAACAGTGGCCACCCCAGACGATTGACAGAAAAAGCAATAGGCAGTCAGCAAAGGAAGGGAACCAATGGATGAACTAAACGTGCAAAACCGAATTTCAATACCAGTGTTCTTGTTCCATGCGTACCAATTCTATGAGGGAAGCTGCAGAGGATCGGCCGTAAGCGCGGATCTGATGCGTGTCAAAACCGTCCAGCCAAAATCCCAACAACAAGGCGGATTTGCACTGTACCATATGAATGTAGTCTCATAGAAAAAACCGGCAGCACCATCGAAGAGAGGAGGAAAGAAAGCCTCATTAACCTCAACGCCGATCTCCGTCAGAAAGGAAAAGAGCGAATGCAAACGAACGATCCGCAGGTGGTGAAGCAGCAGTACGAAAGGAATTAGCTGGCCGTACAACATGCGGTGTGTGAACAAAACCTCGATTAATGAGCCATATGAATGGAATACACACAGAACGGATCTTTCTAAACCCCACAATAAATAAAACAATTGTAAAACAATTAAAACAATGTATGAATAAAAACGTCGTTATGGAACTAACTCCGCATTCGAACGAAGTCATCAAGCAACTTCCACAGTGAACTTTGTACCTAAATACAGAGAAACACTGTAGCATCATATTTGTAATATGTCGCTCCCTGAAGACCGTTGGAGCACGATTTGAAGCGTTAGAAAAATAGCATATAATAATTTTTGCACGCTATGCATCCCGTTAAGTGCTTGTCGAGTTTCGAACTAAATTCTCGCATATATATTTTGTATAATAAATACATACTACAATTAAATATTCCTATAATAAATGTTGCTATAAAGTTTATTAAATGTTACTTCTCCAAACGTCCTGAATCATTTTCAATCCATCTTCAGGAAGTGACACATTATTGATATGATGTTGCAGTATTTGTCTCTGTTTTTAAACAC